CTACTACCGATTGAATGGTTTAGTGAGGCCTCTGGATTGGCACTGTCAGTTAAGAATTAAACGAGACTTACCTAAGTTGAAGTTTGATTACAATTCTGCCAAATCAGTACAGTACAGAGGGGTTAACATGAGATGCGCACGCACCGCCGTGGATCAGCTTTCGACAAGAAACGTTTTGTGTTCACGTATAAACAAACAAAAGAACGACCCTGCTAATGAGGAAGAACGATAACCATCGTCTCACACTGAGGTAAAAATTGGGCCGGGAGAAAATTATGGGAACTTCGGGCATGTTAACCCTTCTGTACTGTACTGATTTGGCAGAATTGTATCAAACTTCAACTTAGGTAAGTCTCGTTTAATTCTTAATTCTACCAAATCACCACAGACATCCGGGTTACCATGAGATTTCAAAGCCGGGAACACAAAATGGCAAAAACACATATGCAAGAAAAACAACAACAGAAGTTTAATTAACGACCACCACGTACAGAAAATTAAACTACGCGTGCAAAATGGCTCGACTCATTTGGTCTGTGACTGCAACTGGTCTATTGTAGAAACGACGAAAAGTAGACTCTTGTTTCCACCCAACGGTGGCTAAAATTACGTCCACTGGGATAGTAGCAACCGCTTTGCTAGTTGCTGCGCTCCTAGTACTGTGAGCAGAGAATTGCTTTGTATCCACTCCGGCTTTACCCAATAAGGTTTTTATCCAACGCCCAATGGTCGATGTGGTTACAGCACTATAAGGCTTAATATAAGACACAAACAAACTGGTAGAGGACCTCAAATTCCTCGTAACGTTTAAATAACAGTCCAAAGTTTCATAAACACACAGTTCTTTAACTGTATACCGATATAAACACAAGTCTCCAAACACCGACCCCGGACGGTCCTGTTTAAGGTGAGCAGTAAGGGCGAAACAATAACAATCCACTGTTTTAACCATGTAATCCGCTGAGATATCCATAAAGGTCAACGCCTGACACCGTTGGCCCATCGTTAGAGCAACCAATAAGACCAATTTGAGTGTAAAGTCCTTCAGAGACAAATCGCGTAACGGCCATAATGTAACCAAATAGTCGAGGACAGGATCAACCGACCAAATGGAACGGTATTTCGGGACAGGTTTAACCACATTGAAAACGCCTTTGAGATATTTACATACGAGGAAATGACGACCAACAGGGATCTGGTTAAGGCTGCGATCAAGCGTAAAATCCAAGGTAGATACAGCCGAACGAGCCGTATTAAGCGAGGAATAACTCATACCCGCCTTGAAAAGTGTATGCAAAAACATCAAAAGGGCCTTTATAGTTGGCCGCAGAGGATCACACGACCCTTGCACACAAAACTGTATCCACTTTGCGATGTAATGGCTGTATTGCGGTGGTCGCGTCTCTCCACGACTGCATGATGACATCGACAATGTTTGTCGGAATATCTGCGTCCTGTAATGATCTGCGGATAATTTGCAGACCATTAACTGCAGTCGACCTTGTAGAGGATGCGTCCCCTCCAGAGTGGGATGGACTAGGTTCTGTGGAGTCACGTTGAATATCCGCGGAGTCTCCACGAAAAGACTGAGAACGACCGAGAAGAAGGGCTGTGTGGGCCATAGCGGAACAACTAGGATTCCTGTTGACTTGTCGTGAATGATCTTTTGGACACACCTAGAGACAAGACAAAAAGGCGGGAAAGCATAAAAGAAACTATGCCATTTAATTGAAAAGGCATCTATAAAGCTCGCCTGTGGGTCCGGTTTCCAAGAGGCGTAATTGGCAAGTTGAGTGTTTAAACGACTAGCAAATAAATCTATGTCAGGCCGACCAAAGACGTTAATGATAGTCTGAAACGTCTTTTTCGATAACATCCACTCCAGATTTAAATTAAGATTTCGAGACAAGTGGTCAGCATCGACATTGTTAGTGCCACTAATGTGAGCAGCTGACAAGCAAATATCCCTAGAAATAGCCCAATTCCAAATTAGCTTGGAACAGAATTGCAATGGGCAGACTTACAACCACCCATTTCATTAATATAAGTCACTGCGGTCATATTATCGCACATTACACGAATATGAACAAGACTAGCATTATTTAACAAAGACGAGAGCGCTAGATAAACCGACTGTAATTCTAGAAAATTAATATGGCGATGAGCTTCAGCATTAGACCAGACACCGGAAGTACTTAGCCCGTTGTCCAGTGTTGCACCCCAGCCGACGCCGGATGCATCTGTGTGTAAGACAATATCCGGCTGGGGGTGACAAATTTTCTTGCTGGCCGTAGGGATGGTAGTTATCCACCACGTTAACTCTTCTAAACTATCCGACGATAGAGACATTAATTTATCAAAATCACCAAGATGTATTCTCAAATGAGAATCTTTATCTGCCTCCAACTGGCGATAATAAAGCGGACCAAACTCAACCCCAGGGAAGGAGGAAACTAAGGATCCAATTAGGGATGCAACCTGACGAATAGTAAACAAAATATTTGGCTGTCGAAACTTCTGACACATCTGGATCAATTTATCCCTTTTCAAAGGAGTAAGGGTTACTGTCATAGTGACAGAATTTAAGAGAAACCCAAGAAACTCGATACACTGAGTTGGAACAAGAACAGACTTATCCGGGTGAATTTTAAAACCTAAATCACTAATAAGCTGTACAGCATGTAAAGTAGCCTGAAGGCATTCCTGCTGTGTGTCTTCAATGTACAGAGAGTCATCAATATAACTTAAACAAGTGTGTCCCCACTGGGTCCATAACGTGGCAAAAACCGGCTTCATAACCTTAGTGAATATTCTAGGACTACTAGATAAACCCATAGGTAAACAAGTAAAACAATAAAGTGTTTCCTTCCAAATAAATTTCAGGTATTTTTGACATTCAGGTGCAATCGGAATAGAATAATAAGCATCCTTTAGATCAATGGAAGTCATGAAACAACCCAGTCTCATGAGCTTAATAGCAGTGTCCAAAGTATCCATCTTAAAATGATGATAGGACACATATTCATTTAAACCTTTAAGATTGAAGATGACTCTAGAAGATCCATCTTTCTTGGGGGTAATAAAGATAGGTGAAACAACTTGGTCAGGTTCTGAAAAGGACTGCTTAATTATCCCTTTCTGTAAGAACTTGGTAATCTCAGAATCAATTAGTTCTTGCTCCGTTAAATTAAAAGTAAAATAAGGTCTAGATTTACTAATGGCTGAGTCAGGTAAAGAATTAAATTCAATGTGGCAATGTGTAACAGCATTCAAAACAAATGGATCTGAAGTAATTTCTGTCCATGCCTTGACACAATGCTTTAAACCCCCAGCTGAAAAAGTGGGTTGATTGGTAATGATAGAAGAAATAGAACGTTGACCTACCTGTTTTGTCACTCCTACTGACTCTTGCTGGTCTTGGACATTGAGGATGGGGGACGGGTGAGCCCCCGGCTGCCGCCTAAAAAAGACCTCGCTCTTCCGCGTCCTGCACTCTGATGAAATCGACCACGTCCACGTATACCTCGTCTACTGGACACTTTATAGGGCTCAAAACGTGGTGCGGAAGTGACTTTACTGCCAAGCATATAAGATTTGCTCACCTCCTCTACTTCCTTGCTAAGATCATCGCCAAATAAGTTCGTAGAAATGGCGACAGATGGGTTACACAATGATCCATATTGTTTGTTCAAATCAGGGCGAATTAAATCGCGGCGCTTTAAGTTAATTTCTCGATTGGCTGCCAGCAGCAAAACAGCTGCATGAGTTAGCACACGTTTCTGGTCTCCACCAGCAGAATTACATACTTCAAGAACCGCACAGAGGCCGGAGATCATCAGTCCCTGAGCTTTCTGAATAGCAGAATCACGATTGCGAGTATCTTGCCGCATTTGATGCCAAATCTGCTTATTCACTTTAAGAGAAACCAACGTCGGACAATTTTCTGGCCGGACATACTTAGGCTGCAATTCCTGCAGTTTCTCTTTGGGCAGCTTATCTTTTAAAAGCCCATTAACAATTTCAGCTAAACCAGCTGCGATTGGAGCAGACGCGCGCTCATTGACAGAAAACTCTTAGGCTAAGGTCTGAAAAGATCCCTCGACACTAGGACTATCCTGTGCTGGCTGCACAAAGCTGTCGATCTTATCAGTGAGCCCAGGATCGGAAATTCCTGCGATGGAGCCTTCGGCTTCATCATCAATAGCGACCATGTCAAAATCAGAATAGACTTGATCAATGTTCTGCTGGACTCGAGTTAAAATGTCGTTTTTAGTCTCATCTAACAACTCTTTAAACAAAGCCTTAAATTGAGGCAAAGATGTACTGCTCCCAAGGTCGGTACCGGACTCAACGGTAGATTGCTCCATAATCTAAACAGAAAGATAGAGTGCCTCTATCAACGGGCGAACAATGCCCAAACCAACAAGAAAAGACACGTCTTATTCTCGTGGAAAAAGTATAGAACAGGACACGTCCTGTACACAATCAACCGTGGCAATATGACTCGTCACAAAACCGGGAATTGAACAGCTTTTATTTGTATAAATATGGTAGATCTCGTCTACAAAATTAGCCACGCTAAACAAGCGGATAAAAGAAAGTTAACTTACCTGCTAAAATGAACAAAATCGAACGATTTTAAAACAAAAATTCCCGTAGAAATGTAGAACACATGCGAATCCAACGGCGATAAACAATGCACTGATCCACGGCGGTGCGTGCGCATCTCATGGTAACCCGGATGTCTGTGGTGATTTGGTAGAATTGAAACTTCAGAAGGATCATCAATGTTTCGCTTGGCAATCAAACGAGCTATGAACTTACAACCACGAGTCAGGTGAGCGCTTGTTCGCTCTTAAATGTTCGGTGGATGGACACATTTATTCATTTAACGCTATGAGCGCTTCATTTCGCCATTGCCCGGCCTCCCCGTTTTACTTTTTCAAACACAAAACATGGAAGTTTAACTGTGTGTTTTATATTTTTTTTTCAAAATATACAACTTTTAACGGTGGATCTCTTAGCTCCTGCATTGATGAACAACGCAGCCAGCTGTGCTAGGTTGTGTGAACTGCATAATTCAGTGAATCACCGAATCTTTGAACGCAAATGGCGCTCTCGGTTATACCGTGAGCATGTCCGTCTGAGTGTTGGTTAATGAAACGCCGAGTTGGTTTCGACTTGATTGGGGCGTCCTGCTGCAGCTCGAAGCAGCGCGTCCCGCGAAGTGCAGCGCACGTTGCCGTCGCGACGTTACCAACGTGCGAACGAAGCCTGAACTATTTTATAGCAAAGGAGCTCTTCGTTTCGCGCGTGCTGGCCGACGCGCACGACATGTTCCATTCATTCATTCATTAACCTCAGATCAGGCAAGATTACCCGCTGAATTTAAGCATTTTACTAAGCGGAGGAAAAGAAACTAACAAGGATTCCCCCAGTAATGGCGAATGAAGAGGGAACAGCTCAACTTGAAAATCTCTGTTGTGTTGCCACAGTGAATTGTAGTTTGCTCGACCCCTCGCGATGTGCTTTCAAAGAGTCGGGTTGTTTGGGAATGCAGCCCAAAACGGGTGGTAAATATCATCTAAAGCTAATTACAGGCAGGAGACCGATAGCGAACAAGTACCGTGAAAGAAAGATGAAAAGGACTTTGAAAAGAGAGTTAAAGAGTACTTGAAACCGTTGAAAGGGAAGCGAATGGAGTTAGCAATTTGCCCTGCCAGGCTCAGTCGCTCTAAATAGTTTAATAATACTGTTTGCCACAATTGCCATAAAACTATCTAAAATTGTTTGATCCATATTAAAAAGTTATTGGGTGCCACCAATTAAGGTCTCAAAGAGATCCTGTTTGTCCATATTGTTCAAATATGACACAATTTGGATTGGTAGGTTGTCAGTAATATCGTCCCACATTGAACTTCGCTCGCGACACAGTTTTGAGTAATTAATTAATTAATTCATAATGAAGTGGTAGCTATAATATCTTCCAGATTTCTCTGGCAAAGTTTACATGTATAAAATTCAGCACACTTCAGAACACCTCTGATTAAACTGTCAGGAACATTTCCACAAAGTATGTTCACCAAATTTGGTATTGGGACACGATGCAGAGGATTTCTCTTCGCTACCTCCCAATGAATAATAGGTTTCAAATCATGGTGCGTTCTCCTCAATCTTTGTAATCCAGGTTTTTCCAGTAGCTTTTGCTTCCATATTTTTGTTTTGTGGGTGTTTATAGCTTCCACAACAATATTACACCAGGAATTTTTACTAGGAAATATACTGTTTTCGAGGTAATCTTCGACAAACTGATACAAATTGTATGTTTTAAGAATTTCTAACATATCTGGAATATATCCTTGACTTACAAGTTTTGTCCTCAATCAAATATGAAATCAACCTTGTAATAAATATTTTCTTGTGGAACGATTTAGGCGAAGCACGACAAAGTGATCCAAAGAATATAAGTTTCGCTTTATTTATGTAACCGACAGTTGTCCACATTCCAATAGTTCCAAGAGCCGCTGCATTGTGTGTTGTTGGACTCAAACCTTGCATTTGCTTTGCTGCAAACGTAGTTGACCTGTTCAAGATTTCGACCTCGGTTTTACTTAGATTTGAGCAAACTTTGCAGCCATATAATAAAGCAGGAATGCCAAAAGTTCTCCATACAGTGGCGCTATAAATAGGATTTAATCCCCCAAGACCAATGTCCGCGCCCATTAAGCCGTAAACCACTGATTTGCCTTTCTTAACCACTTCGGTAGATCTCTCAAAACTGGAAAAGTTGCCGTTAAGTAATATACCGACATGTTCCCACGAATGTTTCTCGCTAATTTTTTTACCATTAAGATACCACCTCCTGCTTTCGTTTCTACGGTTGTTCATTTGTGTTGTTTCACCAAAAGTGACCACCGTCGTCTTTTCAGGATTAAATTGAAATCACCATTTATTGCTGTACTCCTCTATCGCGTTGATCATACGTTGTAGGCCGTCAACTTGCAATGACAGTAAAGTTACATCATCAGCAACTAATACGGAATTGTAGTAAATATCATTAACAATCACACCATAGCCAGTAGATTTTAGTACATCTGGGATATCATTATTGAAACAAAGATACAGCCATGGCGACAGCACACATCCTGGCCTTACACCTTGTTTCACATGAAACATGGGGGAGAATTTAATCATTCAAAGAAACACAACACCTCATCCTGTGGTACCATTTACGCAGAACCCGCCATGATCTTCCTTTCATTCCAACGTTAAAATAACTTGAAGAACAGACCATCCAACCATACAGAGTCAAATGCTTTTGTTGAGCCCAAAAAGCAGCAGTACACTTTACTTCCTTTTTCTATATTGGCATGGATGATCTCTTGAAGTACGAAGCTGGACTTGAACACAACTCTTGTTTTCTTGATAGGCGAATTGAAAGTCATTCGGAATGCCAAGCAGTTGAAAAGTTGGGGTCCAACGATATTTATTATCAGACGCTCAAATATCTTTCCAATAACATTTAACAGAGTAATGCCACGGTAATTATTTTTGTGTCGTTTACTTCTTTTCCCTTTGTAGAGTGAAACGATATTTCCAGTAACCAATTATCCACAACGTGTTCTAAAACACAGACAGCATTAAATATTTTTGTAAGGATTTTATACAAAGTTGGTCTACCAAATTTAATATGCTCGTATTTTATAGTATCTAAACCACCGGCTTTCCCATTAGGAAGTCTTTCACAAATTGTTGCTACTTCAGAAACTTCAAATGGTTTGTCTAGTGGATCTTCATATTGCAAACTTTCTTGTGCGTGATCATTCAATTTCTCTTCAACATAGTTTTTGAAATTAGTGTCATAAGAAGGTTCATTTTTTGGTGTATATAGATCTTCGTAATGTTGTTTCCATATCTCAAGTATATCATCCTCGTCTGCTATAAATTTGTCCGTCCACCTCTAACATCATATTAGGGGGGTCTTTTCCCTTTTTCTGACGAGACACCGTCTTTATGAAAATACTTCTGTCTGTATCATATAGCTCTTCCAGTTTTTGAATCGATTTGGTCTCCTCTTCGTAAATCGCTCTTCTTTGTGCTTTACGAAACTCCTTTTTTGCTTGCTTATAATCAAAAAACGACTGATGCTCCTGACCTCTTGGCCTGCCATCTTCTATCCAAACCCTTCTACACTTTTTAACATTCTTTTTTAACATTCTTTTTAACATTCTTTTTTATATATATGGGGTATATATAGTCTGCTAATCAGCGGCACAAAGCTTGTATGGTCACGTGGGTTTCCCGAGAAATTGTGGGACTCATTTTGATTGGTTAGCTTATAATTATGCAAAATAATCAAAATTTGAGAATATTTATTATTATCACAAACAACATGGCGTCCTTCATCGAACCATCTTTACTTGAAGGAGAGCACTTTTCGGAAGCTATTCGGATTGTATGCTGTTTTTTTCAAGTGGAAAGTCTTCATCGAGAGCAAGTCGAAGCACTCAAAGCCTTCTTACTCCGTAAGAATATCTTCTTTATTGCTGGCACAGGCTACGGGAAGTCTCTAGTCTTCCAAGCGGTTCCTCTCATCGCTGACCTTCTCGAAGAACAAGTCGTTGGAACCAGCATTGCAATCGTAATATGTCCTTTGGTGTCTCTGATGCTCGACCAAGTCGCGTATTTGAAGTCCTTAGGATTAAATGCTGCTGCTGTGTACCAAGGCCAAAACGAGGATGTGTTGAGAGAGATCGAACAAGGTCACTATGCCTATATTTACGCTACTCCTGAATCGATGCTAAGTGTAAAGCGATGGCAAAAGATGCTAAAAACGCCATACTTCATTGAGCATTGTGTTCTAGTTGCAGTGGACGAAGCTCACTGCATCAGTCAATGGTAAGTACTATTAAAGGTTGTTCTGTTGTTTACATTGAAATGTGTCCACTCATACTAACTATGTAGTCATCAATCACAAGCAGCTATCTGCTAAGGAAATTAATATAATTTTAATTTAATATCATCATCGTAATAATCATAGTATCATAATTTTGAAAATACATACTTATTGCAAAGTTGCTCTTTCCTTGTTTATTCTTGTGAAATACTTCAATCAGTTCAATGTTGAAACCATGCAATTTTAAATGTGTTCATCAAAGAAATTGAACATGAACGTTGGTTTTATGCCATATTTTTTTCATTTTTGCTTTCAGGGGGCTACCTGGAGCAAAACCTGTGCCCTTCAGGAAGTGGTATGGGAACTTGGGGGAGCTGAGGGCACTATTCAAAGATGTCAATTTCATTGCATGTACAGCAACTGCTACAACTTCTACCAAATCCAAGATCTTCAATGTTCTGCAAATGAACCGTGGAAATACATTGGAGATCGAGGTAAGTCCAGACCTGGCAAACCTGATGTATGCGATGCAATATGTTGATAATGAAATTCCCCTCCGCGATGTGTTCGACAATGTTATTGAGCATGTTCGAACTGAAAAGACAAGAACTCCCAGAACAATCATTTATTGCCAAACAATAAAACAGTGTGCGATTCTCTGGAGAACTTTTAAGCTGGAGTTGGAGGAGGACTTTTATCTGGAGCAAAGTACTTTAGCAAAGGATTGCCTTGTTCAGATGTTCCACTCAGGTACACCAAAGTCCACAAAGCAGCTAATTTTGGATAATATAGCAAAGGTGGATGGTCACATCCGTATCCTTATTTGTACAATTGCTTTTGGGATGGGGATTGATTGTAAGGGTGTCCACTATGTGATCCATTTTGGTCCATCATCTAACATTGAAAGCTAGGTCCAGGGGTGTGGTAGGGCTCGGCGTGATGGCCATGAAAGCACTTGTGTCATGCTTTATAACTCTTTCTTGGCATCACATTGTGGAGACGACATGAAAAAGTACTTGGAGAACAAGGAATGTCGGTGAAAAGAAATTCTGAAATATTTTCCAGGTAACCATGTCATCAAATGCAAAGGCTGTAAATGCTGCGATGTTTGTGCCACCACATGTACCTGTGCTGCCAAAGCTGGGAAATGTAAGTTTTCAATGTTAATGAAAGTGAAGGAATTGGAGGAAGGAAAGTACCACTACACTAAGAGAAGAGCGGTTGGTCAGGAACAGAGGAAGGCATTAGAGGCAAAAT